TTATTTCTTGGTCACTCAAAAATTATTTCTTGGTCACTCAATAGTGCTGCGCGCCAGGTCTAAAAATAGATATGTCATCTTTGGACCTCCCCCCGCTGGTTTAGGACAAACACTCGGAGTCTTTACAAGGACTTGTATGCGAAACGTGTCAGAAGCAAGACTATTTTTGCTGAAAAAATGCTCTATCTTTTTAAAATGGTTGCAACTAGGCATTGCTGTTGGGTACATGTAAAAATGACTCAAGATATCCAGAAAGATTGCCAGATTCGCTTAATCCGCCTTAAGAAATGCTTAAAAACGGTCGGAAAGCCTTCATACCGTTCCCTAAGCCAAAAAACCAAACCCTCCCCCCAAAGATGAAAAATCAACCCTTTTACACATCCCCCAGGAAAAAATAAAATCAAGTAGGGAGGGGATAGCAAACTAAACACAAACCAATCGAATGCAGACGCAACCGATTGGCGCCAATCCTTAAAACGTCACATGACACAAATATATCCAAGATGGACGACGAAGTTCAGGTCGTGGAAGTAACGGTACGTTTTTCCTTTGTATATTTACACATAGTTTAACCTTTATTGTCTTTGCCTACATAAAAATAGAATTAAAATGACGCCTGAAACACCCTTACAATGTGAAGGTAATCATCTCTGGGCGAAGAAACGCCAGATCCTCAGCAAATTGGTACTATTTTTCTCTAAGCGGAGTTGTCTTGAAGCGAGGAATTAATTATTGTCTGACTTGGAGTGATATCTGCAGCTATTTGGCGTTTCATGGAGACGATTTAAGGTTCCTTTGAAGGAAAGGGAAATGATGTTGATGTCCGGTTAGATATTGATGCAGTAACATGTATTCAGCGTGAAATATTTTTTGGCGCCATGGCCTCAGCGCGCGCAGGATTTGTAGTCTCTTGTTTAATTTTAATAGGTGATTACCGCAAAAATTAAATTTGGAATTTTGTTATGCTGTTTGCCGATGCGGTTTCTATTATTTTCGCTGGTGTTTTGAGTGTTCTCAATGATATTCGCCTACCCTGCGAGCAGAGCCTTTTCTTCTTTTCTTCTTTTCTTCTTTTCTTCTTTTTAACCCTCCAAGTAGAAAGGCTCTGCTGACATCCTGTTGTTGCTTTGAAATGCAGAAAGCCCAAAACTCTGGGCTACTCAAGCCGGTTTTGCCTCCAGTCAAACCAGTTTTGGTGTGCACGCCTTTATTTTTCATGTAAACAGATGACCAAATCTGCAATCACAATAGTTCAAGAGGGCGTGGAAATGGATCAGTTTCTAGGCAACAGCCGTGCATGTTCAAATGAGCAACAGCAGGATGTTGGCGGAGCCTTTTCCCTTTTCGATTTGAGGACGGGTTAAAAAGGCTCTGCTCGCAGAGTAATGTTCGCCAAAACCTCGATGCTATCATTCGTGTCCGTATGCTGTTATTTGAAACCTTGGTGCTATTATTTGTGTCCGTATGCTGTTAAGCGAAACCTCGATGTTATTATTCGTGTCCGTATGTTGTTAAGCAAAACCTCGATGTTATTATTCGTGTCCGTATTATTCGTGTTTTGAATTATGTTCATCTTAATCCGGGTCTTAAGAGAGCTCGACCGCTGTGGTCTGGCACAAGTGATAAATTAAGAGCCACTGACCATAAAATATTGAGAATCCACTGACAATTGCAAAATTTCGTAATTTGTTTTATTTTTTCTAAAGGACCGTTTTAGTGAACCTTTTTCGACAATTATATTAAAAAGCAGTTCTATTGGGCTTTTTTCTCCGAAAAATTGAAAAGTTTGAAATACGCCTAAACGACCGTTGTCCCCCCCTTAAAGCAACAAAAAATTATGTAACTTCGGCAACTTTGTACACTACAACACAATGCAATCCCGCTTTTAAATTTTGTATGCTCGCAGATGATCCATTCATCTCTTGGAAAATATTAATTTCTTGTTATTTTAATATGTTTAAATCTGAATAGTGACCTGTTGGAATAAAGTACTTCGCTTCTCTCTCGCAGAGGTAAAATAAAGGTCAACTTCAGTGGCCTATTAACAGGTCTGCCATATATACTTAGAAATCCTAATGTACATCATTGTAAAGCTTTATCCTTGTATTTTAATTCCTCCAATTCTCTATCTTGGCCCGCTATAACCGGCACTTCCAGGTTTACAAGAGTTTGGGCTATTTTGTCAAAAATGCGATGTGAACCACTGAACAGCTGTCATGATGCATTGAAAGGCCTTTAAAGTGCCCCTCAGATGAAAATTGACCATTTTATTTTGGCCTAAATTGTTTACACAATGTTAAATTGGGTCAAGTTAAGACCCTTTTTGCCATTAAAAACTCGAAACAACCTTTAATGACCAATTTTTACTGCTTTAAAGTCGTCCAAAAAATCATGCGCCATCGCTGGAAACATGTTCCAGCCGAGCCCGCAAAAACATGATGTCAAAGGCTCTACAAACTTATGCTTTGCTTTGTCACAACTCTCTTTGTTCGTTGCACAGAGAATCACACATATTACTTTTTTGAGAACTGTTTCGTTGTCAGTCAGGAAATGTCGACTTTTTCAGACGATGAATTGTCCCAGAAATCATCTGAAGCTTCTGTGGATAGTTTTGCGCCGACAAACGATGAATTTTTGCCATGCGAATAAAGATAAGCACAGAACGGCACGGACTCCCCATGTGGCTTTTGTGGTCGCATCGCTTTAACGCCTTCGAACTGTATTTTTGCTTGTCGTAAGGGATTTTCCTTTTTTGTAAGAAATGATCGGATGATTAGTAAAAATAGTTTTCGGCAATGGCTAATCACAAATATTTCTATAGGATTGAAGTTTACTCGGCGAGGTCGCACAAATCGCATCCGTTTTTCCCACTCTGATCTAGCAACATGGTCTGCACGATTACTTCAGCTTTGAATTACGCATCGATGCCCAGTCATTTTTGTTTAGTTTTTATAAGAATAGAGTAAAGCACTCTGTTATGTTTGCTTGACATTTTGCCACGTGAGATTTTCGCGTTGAGCCTTTGACTTCACTTCCTCTGAGTCCTGCGATCAACTTCCAGAACATGATCAAATAATGGCAGACACGATATCGTGAAATTAACAGCCCGAAAAAAGATGTTTCTGGTGCTCGGTCTAGACTGAAATTTGGCAGAGTAGGTGAAGGAGACACACTGAACATGAAAATGGAAAAAAAATGATGTATGAAAATTTTGATCTCAGGGGCACTTTAAAAAGGTCTTGTATGATATATTTACAAATTAAAATATATATCATCTTAAAGCTTTATCCTTGTAGTTACTAAGTCCTCTAAGTTCATTTCTTGGCCTGCCATAGGCAGTGTGTCTAGCTTGAAAAAAGTTTGGGCTAAAAGGACAAAAAATGTAATGCGATCCGTTGAATGGCAGTCACACAAGAGGTTATGTGTTTGGTACATTGCTGGCCAAGTTAAAAGATTGGCCTTGACCTCTTGCGTGACAGTCGTTCAATGGATGGCATTACATTTGTTTTTTTTTTATAGCCCAAACTCTTTTCAAGCTGGACACGCCACCTATGGTGGACCAAGAAAGAAACATTGAGGACTTAGACTACAAGGATGAAGCTTTAAGATGATATATATTTTGGTCTGTAAATATATCATACAAGATGTTTTAATGGCCTTTGAATGGGTCATGACAGCTGTTCAGCGGTTTGCATTGCATTTTTGACAAAATAGCCCAAACTCTTGTAAACCTGGACACGCTGCTTATGGTGGGCCAGGATAGAGAAATGGAGGAATTAAAATACAAGGATAAAGCTTTAAGTTGATGTACATTACAATTTGTAAGTATATATGGCAGACCTGTTCATGGGCCACTGAAGTTGACCTTTATTTTACCTCTGTGAAAGAGATGCGAAGTACTTTATTTCAACAGGTCACTATTCAGACTTAAATGTAACAAAAATAACAAGAAATTAATATTTTCCAATTATATTAATGGACCATCTGCGAGCATACAAAATTTAAAAGTGGGATTGCATTGTGTTGTAGTGTACGAAGTTGCTGAAGTTGCATAATTTTTTGTTGCTTTACAGGGGGGACAACGGTTGTTTAGGTGTATTTCGAACTTTTTGATTTTTAGAGAAAAAAAGTGTGATAGAACTTTTTGATATAATTTTCGAAAAAGGTTCATTAAAAGGGTCTTTTAGAAAAAATAGAAGGAGTTACGAAATTTTGCAACAGTTTGTGGACTCTCGATATTTATGGTCAGAGGCTCTTAATTTATCACTCGCACCAGACCACAGTGGTCGAGCTCTCTGAATACCTGGATTAAAATGAACATAATTTGAAACACAGATAATAGCATCGAGGTTTTGCATAACAGCATACAGACACGAATAATAACATCAAGGTTTTGCTTAACAGCATATGGACACAAATAATAGCATTGAGGTTACGAATAACAGCATACGGACACGAATAATAGCATTGAGGTTTTGGTGAACATCACTGAGAACACCCAAAATACCAGTGAAAATAATAAAAACCGCATCAGCAAACAGCATAATAAAATTCCAAACTTATTTTGGCAGTAATCACCCCTCATATTCCCAACAATCAAAGGTGAATTTGTAAGCTATGGCTGGGTTGATTATTTTGTTGAAAGGCTTTTAATGAGTTATTAATACCAGAAGGGCATAGTTGTTTTACTATTATTTTATAATTTATTTTTAAAAAACGTTTTTTATGTACTAAATTTTCATATTGTATTGCTTTGGGAGCACATTGGCAGATCTACGGTAGATGAGAGCTGGCATTCAGGAAACTTTGTTGGTTACCACATGTATGCCAGCTTTTGTACATGGTTGTCAATGCAAGATATTTTCTGTTGAAGACTGACCCTAAACCTTGATAACATTCATAGTTTTCTTTTAGACACAGGGGAAGAAACCCTGTGGTAGCTAGGGATTGCATATAGTTTAGACCTTTAGAATACAGGTATCTGTGGGATGGATGGATGAGATATTGTACATGTACCAGTGCTTCCTTTGGATAGGGACCCAAGGTCTCTAGTCACCCAATCTCCTCAGTAAACATTTAGTGGCGATGCAGTACTAGTATTAGTGTTTACTTTGTCGTTTCAGGTGTGCAGTTCCTCTTCGCCAACGAAGAAACGTAAACGGGAAGAGTCACCACCAAAGGCTGTAGTCACTATTAATAAAGATGACAGCATTCTCCAGAAAGTAGCTCAGCTAAAAAGGAGGGTAAGTCATAATAATTATTGCATGTGTATTGTTTTAATCTGTTATTTTTGTACCACTAATGTAAGACTGGAGACCAGTTGTTGTAACTGGTTACCAATTGATAGTGTTACTTCTCATACTTTTGTGCTGTATACTAAATGTGTACACCATACATTTATACAGTGTTGCTCCCATTCTGTTTTTATTTTTTGAAATCCGGCACTTTCAAGTATATGTAGGTGCAGAAAAACTTTGATCATCCAGACTTGTGGACTTACCAGTCCAGATAATGGAGAGTCCAGATGATAAAAAGTACAAAAATTAATGATCCAAAAATAATGTTGACTTGTACAATGTACTATATTATACTTGTGCATTATCACTAAATCAATATTAGGAAAGAATTAAAGCACACTCTTAAATCAATGTGTATTGATCAGTGTTGGTAACATTTGTCAAAAGTATTAATCAAAGGTACTGAAACATCATTATATGGAAAGGGAAACTTTTTCAGTTCCAATGTGAGTTTCATTACGTGTGGTTTGTTTCATGGAAAGAAGTAGTTACAGATCTTGAATGCATAAAAAATGAGACTAGCGAGGCAAGTCTGGCTAATGCTGGATAGTTTTCAATATTGCCTTAAAACTAGCCCTGTAAATATTAAATTCTTGGCCAAAGCACCATCTCTTTTAATTTGAAGAAGGCTTAAAATCGGATTTTTATTCTTTGCAGCTTGAATTTTGTGACAAAGAGAAACAAGAACTTTCAAAAAGGTTCAAAGAACTTGA